GGTTTAGGAGAAGCCATAAATAGCTGGAACATCAGTGTCCGAGCGGCATACCACTTATCATCTGTACCCAACTTTGTGCGTACGAATGATCTTGGCCCACAAGTTCAACCCATAACATCCTTTGGAACCCCGTAGAGGAACCCTAAACCCTGTACATGGAACGCCTTGAAGAAGTCCGCAACCACCCAATGAAGGGGTGTAGGAAGGAGGGCAGAGAGTTCAGGTTGTAGCAGTGTATGGTTCAGGGTGATTGTTTAGGGTTAAGGGTTCGGGGTTCAGGGTTCATGGTTCAGGGCTTAGGGTTCAGGGTTTAGGGAGTTAGGGAGTTAGGGAATTCGCAAAGACCTGTCCCCGGTGGCTGGCGTGATTTTTCCCCAAGGCCCTTGGCTCCATGCTGAGCTGCCCTTGACTAGTGACCAGATACCCACCCCCAAAACTTGAACCGCCCCAACAAAAGCCTAAACCCTGAACCCTAAACCCCAAATACCCTAAACTCTAAACCCTGAACCCTGAACCCTAAACTGCTACAACCTGAGCCCTACACCCTAAACCCTGAACCCTGAACCCTAAACCTTGAACCCTGAACCCTAAACTGCTACAACAACCTGAACCCTAAACCCTAAGCCCTGATCCCTAAACCTTGAACCCTGATCCCTGAACTCTAAACCTTGAACTGAAAGGGTTTCAGGATGTCGCGAGAACTGAGGAGTTTTGAACATCAGCAAAGCTTGCTCGGAGCCCGCGTCTTCGTGCTTCAGCCAACGAATGAAGCACCTTCTGCCAGTGAAGGGATTGAAGTTGAAAGCTAGCTAGTTTACCTAACGAATATCTAAGAAAAAACGAAGACAAGACACGCATGGGCAGCAGCACGTGTAGCAGAACCTCTCCGTGATGTTTTCTGGCTTTAGCTTGGGTGTGAGAAGTCCTGGGCCTCTGAGTACTCCAAGGCCGTAGGTGATCCTTAGACTTGTCTGGGGTTTAGGGTTGAGGGTTTGGGGTTTAGGGTTTGGGGTTTAGGGTTTCGCTGCGGATTTTTTGGTCATGAGCCTTGTAATGAGCGGCTAGTTTAGACGCCGGCAAGACGTGCACCGATACTTTGCCTTACTGGACGAAGGCGTGGACAAGCACTGGAACCGTACACACAGGGCTGCATGCACTTGTTGTCGAATCATACATGACGAACTGTCTCCAGGGATGAAGCCAAATTGAGCTTGATTGAACAGGCAAGCACATGCACAATGAACACATTGCCAAAAAGAAATGGTATCTACTGCTGTTTCATGTGTGCAAGTGGAAATGCTTGAACGTCCGTAGGCAGCCACAATCAACAGAAACGAAGGCTTATCGATGAATGCAGGCACCCAGAGAAAAACCGTTAACCGGCAGACAACCACACACACACACACACTGGCGTTCGCTCGTTAGATGCAGCTACATGCAACATCCGACCTAAGCTGTGTCGGCATGTACATACATGTTCTTGAGACTAAGAAAGCCGAAAAGTAGTAATTACTATCGCCATTCTACGATTACGACTGCTGTTACCACTACCAGTACCATTACTATTGCTGTTGCTATTACCAAGTTGTTGTTATTGTTACGTTAGATGCCACGCCGAAGCTCGGCACCTCGATCTTCGTATCCCTTTGCTGATGCCAATCCCACTTGACTGTGCTGACCGCTGGGCCACGAGGTCGGGTTTCGGTTTTAGGGTTTGGGGTTCAGGCTTTAGGGTTCGCTTGCAGTGAAGCTCTTAGACTCTTGGGGTTTAGGGTTTTAGGGTTTAGGGTTTAGGGTTTAGGGTTTGAGTTTTAGGGGTTTAGGGTTTAGGGTCGGGAGACTAATTAGGCATTGAACTGAGAACTTTGAGACAGGTCGAGACCTACATGCAGGTGTCACCTGGCATTCGGAAGGTGTCCCACTGTCTGAAGGAGTGTGTGACCGAACAGAGTGGTTGAAGCCTGTGAACCGGGGCGTTATCAAGCTGATCCAAGTGCGCTGCTGCCGCTGCTACTGCTACTGCTACTGCTACTACTACTGCTACTACTACCACCACCACCACCACCATCGCCACCAGCACCACCACCACCGCCGCCACCGCAGCAGATCATACAACCAGCGCCAGTAATCGCACAAGTGGAGCAGCAGTGGCACATCCCGAGCCCAAAAGGGAACAGAAAGCTGTTCGAGCCGGCTATCCGGTGCAGAGCATTTGGTTTCGCATTCTGGGTTCTTGTTAAGGGTTTTTTATTTAAGTTACCATAATAAGGAAACCATATTATTTACTATAGATCCCTATTTATGGTAACTTAAATTAAATCCCTTAACAAGAACCCAGCATTTAGGGGTGTGCGGTTACCGGGTTTAGGGTTTCCGTGAGCCTTTTCAGTCGGGTCATCGAGCGCCTGAGCTTCCGGTAGAGATCGAAGTTACGCCCGGGTCCTGAGAACAAAAGCGGCGATGCAAGCCCCCCTCCCTCCCCTTTTCCAAAAAGCTATCTACTGATTCAGGCATCTAGAAGAGATCACATAGCTTAAACTAAACTAAACTAAACTAAACTAAACTAAACTAAACTAAACTAAACTAAACTAAACTAAACTAAACTAAACTAAACTAAACTCTACCTAACCCGTAGTCGTAGGCGAAGAGCTTCTGCTCTTATGGCCGTGGTCCCTAGCCTCTGGCCAGTGCGCGCAGATCACTTTCAAGTACATTTGAACTGAGGGGCCCCAAATAGCACATATGCGCAAAGATCCTGCTTTCAAATAAGGCATGGGGTAGAAGATGTACGCTTTCGGCTCTTATAAAGAGTCCCCTCATATGAGGTTTGTCGGATAATTACTTGGATCTGTTTTGGGGGTCTATTTGGGGCCCCGGAAACCAGAGTGGAGTTCCCTGAAACAGGGATGCGCCGCATCGCTTTAACTTGGGGTCCGCCTATTTCGCATGAACAGCATCCCTTTGCAGTCCGCGGTATTGTTATACATATAGTCTCCATTGTAGTTCCTTTTCTGGTTTAACCAGCTTTAAATTAAGGATCCTAAAAGGTAAGCCCGAAAAGGAGCTACAACGGAGACTATAGGTACCTTTCAGATTTGCACCACCAGCTCGACTTTGACCAGCTGTGTTGCTGTTAGCAGCCGCGTCAAGGGCTGGGGGTATCGGAAAGGTAAGATTGAATCAGGCGCTGGTCTGGAAACTGCTAGCTTGAGCCTTCTGTTCTAAGTCTGAGTGCTTGTGCTGCTTCCTCCCAGGGATAACAACCTCACGACCGGGAAAGTCTATGAGTCGGTCATCAAGAAGGACGGTTTGTTTTCAGATAGGTTTTGGTTTTAGGGTGTATTGCATTTCTATCTATAGAGGAGTGAGTACCCCGTAACCCTAAGCGGTTTACAGTACGGTTTCGGGTAAACTCGAAACTGCTTTGTAGAGTCAGTTTTGGGGTGCGCGGAGGGGAAGACAAGGAATCAGCCTGACTTTAGGCAAACCCAGAATAACCCAGACCTTCCAATATACGGAACATACCTGAATTATAGTATATAAGCCCCCTCATCTGATCTAAGGCATACCCATAGGCCCTAAAGTAGGTCCTTTTTTGGGGTTCATATATAGAATCCTATAAGGTAACCCCCAAAAGGAACTACTATGGGGCCTATGGGTAGTCCTCTTTGCCAGGAGCGCGAGGGAAAATACTTGGGCAAGACCGTGCAAGTCGTTCCCCACATTACTGGGGAGATGATTTCCTGGATCGACAGCCACACAGTTGCATGAAGTTTTGGGTTTCGGGCTTAGGGTTTAGGGGTTTAGGGAGTAGGGGTTCAGGGTTTAGGATAAGGAAACCCCAAGAACAATATTAACAAGGACCTTCGGGTACTGCTGAGGTTTTGGGGCTTAGGGGTTTAGGGGTTTGGGCTCAGGCGTTTAGCTCAGTTCTCCAATGCCCAACCATTTAGACTTTGCGGGCGCTTATAATTTAGTAGTAATCTGAAAGTCTAACCTTCTACTTTCCTGGCTTATTGGGGAAGTAAGACCCTAGACCCTAAACCCTAAACCCTAAAACCTAAACCCCAAACCCCAAACCCTAAACCCTAAACCCTATCCCTTCTCGCAGCTTTCGTGGATGGAGAGGTGCATGGAGAAGCTTATTGTCTAGGACATTTTCAGGTGGGCAGTTACCGTTATAGGAACCTTATAGAAGCTCTATATACCTTGTAGAAGCCTTATAGAAGCCCTATATACCCCAAACTCCCCACCTAACCCTAAACCCTAAACCCTAAACCCTAAACCCTAAACCCCAAACTCCCCACCTGTAGTTTCCTTTAATATTGGGGAAGGGGACCAAAGAGCTCCCCTGGACCGTTCCCCTAGGCCCGAGAGGATCTAAAAAGTCGATCCCCTAATTTGGGTTTTAGGGTTTAGGGTTTAGGGTCTAGGGTTTAGGGTTTAGGGTTTAGGGTTTAGGGTTTAGGGTTTAGGGTTTAGGGACGACGCAGGGGTACTTTAGAGATGTATAGGAGCTCCTTTAGGAGATCTACTCCCAGGGAACTGCTTCCAAAATCTGCCGATGCTGCAGGCGTTGCAAAGAAATCCGTGGATGGCACAACTCTTCGGCCTCAGATCTGCAATTTGGCAGATTTGGTCCTCGCGGTTTAGGGTTTGGGGTTTAGGGGTTTCGGGGTGTAGGGTTTAGGGTTTCGGGTTTAGGGTTTAGGGTTCAGGGTTCAGGGTTTAGGGTTTAGAGGTTTGGGGTTTAGGGTTTAGGGTTAATTTGGTCCTCATTGTTCTTACCATTGTTGTGACTAATATGGGGGCCTAAGATTATTGTCCTAGACTATTTTGGGGTTATTCTAAGTATGCTATAAGGGACCCCAAAACCTTATTCTAATTGTTAAGACCTCGACATTAGCATTAGTATCATTGTTGTCGTCGTCATTTGGCTATCGTGAGTATGATTGTTGTTGTCAACAAGTCATTCGCTCAAGCTGACTTCTCGGTCAGGCATGATCGAGCTCGGCGGGACGATTGGCGACATCGAGTCCATGCCATTCATTGAGGCCCTTCGCCAATTGAAGTTCAACCTGCCCGAGACACCAGGCTAAACATCAAGAATCATGCGCTTTGAGTTTCGTCCTAAACCCCTAAACCCTAAACCCTAAAGCTTAAACTTTGTGAGCACCACCAATCTCAGGAACTCGCTCGTTTGGTGCCACTGCTCCTACATACCGACCCTCGAAGCATTTAATATAGGGGCCTAGATAATTACCTATACGATTTCGGGGGCTGGCACAATGGGCCCCAAACCCTATTCTAGTTATTAAGGCCCCTACATGGAGCCGTTTATGCAAGGACCAAGGAAAGCCCTCCCAGAACCTGCCGGACCCCGACATTAAACAGACCTGCCACTGAAGCGCCCAGAACGCATCTCGCTGTGACGACCATGACAGCAGGGTCAACGCTGTCTGGTAGTCGTAGCATAATTAGTGGTGGTGTGGTGGTAATTGGTGGTGGTGGTGGTGGTGGCGGCGGCGGCGGTGGTGGTGGTGGGTGGTGTTGTGTGGTGGTGGGTGGTGGTGGGTGATGGTGGGTGGTGGTGGGTCGTGGTGGGTGGTGGTGGGTGATGGTGGTGGGTGGTGGGTAGAGGATGGCGGGTGGGGGTGGTGGGTGATGGTGGTGGTGGGTGATGGTGGTGGTAGCAGCAGCAGTCGCAGTAGCAGTCACAGCGGCAGTACTAGGTGGTAGTAGCAGCAGGTGCACAGGGGTAAGTGTAGCAGTAGCAGTAGCCGCAGCACGAGTACGAGGACTAGTATCATTACTAGTACTAGCTAGTGCCCGTACTAGTCGTTTTCGCACTCGCGGTAGTGATCATCATCGTGAGGAACATGAGCGGCCAGAAGACCAAGCCGACACAGCACTCAGCAGCTTGGTCAAAGCTGAAAAAGCTTCAAAGCTTCAACAGAATGTGGCCAGGGTGCATGGCTGAGGTCAAGACACTACTGGGCCTAGGCCTGGCCTCAGAGAGCGCCGACGCTGTGGTAGTGCTTGTGATGTTTATAGGTATTGCCATTGTTTGTTCCCATGGTTCTTTGCAAATTGGGTGTGCATGTATTGCTACTTGTGATCACTGCCGCTGCTAACCCGTACTGTATCCTCCTTATTTTGCCACTCTACTACGATAACAGAAATAGAAAATATTACTACCAAGAACAACAACTACTACTACCACT